TATTTTAAAAGAACACTCAGAACTAGAAGAGACGCAAGAGTCGATAATGTGCATAAGAGCAATTCACCAAGAAGTCATTTATCGGGAAAAAGAACAACTCTATTGATGTCTCTATGAAAATTGTTATTTGGAACGACACCTAGAAGTTAAAATTCATATTTTTGACGAAGTGAGAAAGTAGCACACATTATGTAAGTTACCGAAGACAATAGGTCACTAAAACAGTACTGTTTTGAGTGCCATAAATTTTTACTAATAGACTAAGACCGGTGGAACAATGTATGATATGTATAGAATATGATATGTATAGAAGAGTTTATAAATAACGAAGAAGCATTTTATTGATTGGATGAAATTGACGTACTGAAATAATTAGGAGATAGAAATGTGTAGGTGTGATATAGTTTAGATTAAACAATTTTATATTAAATATTCTATAAAATATTATATATATATTTTTTTTATTCACATTTTTTAGAGAGATATATATACATACATACATATATATCCCTCTAAAAAATGTGAATAAAAAAGTTTTACGTTTAAATCAAAATGTATTCAATTTGTTTAAAAATATAAACATATATAATATACACAATATATCTTTCATTTCTTTCCTTTCGCCATAAAAATAATTATCCAAAAAAGAAATAGTTATTAAGATTCGTAATAAGAGAAGCCACAACGGGAGAGAGAGAGAGATAGATAGTAGATATACAATAGAGACAGCCACAACGAAAAGAGAAGACGAGAACATGACGAACGCGGCGACGGCGGCAGCGGCGGCGGCAGCAGCGGCGGCGGGTCCCCCCCCCTCTGACGTCATGTCCACGCGCCCTGTCCACGCACAATTTATTTATCTTCTCGTTTATATCATCTTAGCCACCTGTTTATCTGTTTGTTATCTATTTGTTCATATCATCTTCATCTTTGCCGGATCCTACTATCTTATTTACCTCCTCCCTCCACTGCTCATTTTAAAGCATCACCCCTGCCTTCTCCCTCTCCTCTACTCTCCGCACCCACAGTTCCCGTACACCTGCACCTCCCTCGGAGCTCCAGAATTAGAACCCGCGTTGTATACCTACTGTAGTTTGATAACAAAAATCGTAAACAAGTTTTAAAAAATAGCATTTTGTAGGTAAAACTCTGTACTCTTCTGTAAATGTCTTAGATATCTTGAGAAAATTTTTTATCAAGTTACAGAATATTAAAGGTACATAATTTTAAGGAACAAAGCAATGTAAATCTTTTTTCAGATTTAGAACTATAAAGATAAAAAGTTTTCGAAAAACGGTTGAAAGTGTGCTGAAGTATAAATTTCAAGCTGTAAAATGCTTTTTTAAATTTTTATCTGCGATGATTTTTCACCAATTTCCAATCATTTCAAAATTGTGCGATTTTGAGCATTTTGAAAGTGTTCCCTATTTTTTGTTGAGTAGTGTATATAAATATTTGTGTGTGTGTGTGTGTGTATATATATATG